GAAAACTTCTAATTGAAAGAAGAGAAGGAGATGAAGGTTAGATTTATTTTGAATAAGGGTTCCGTACACGAAACAACCTTAAATGGAACAATCATAAATCTTGCTAGTGGTCTTATCCATCGAGGTGTATATCATTAGCAAGGGAAACTAATCATTTTTTTTGACGGTTAACATCCTGCGATATGTATGAAAAAACAAAGAAAAAAGAGAGAAGAAGAAACTGGAAAGACATTGAGAAAGCAAAACAAAATCAAAGGAAACTAGAACAAAAGCAAAAAAATTAAACACAAAAGCTGAAAAAAGATTAAAAAAAAGACAATAATAAATTTCAGAATGAAAAAACAAAAGATAAAGATGAAGAATGAAAGACGATTATCTCCATATCGACTCATGATGAAGAGGTAAAAGAAAAGATTTAAAAGAAAGAAAAAGATAGAAGTGACAAAATTTTTATACTATTTAGGATTTTATATGGATAATTTTAAGATACATTACTTGAAATTTAACATAATGATGAGTAGTGCATATTGTTTGAATAAAATAAATAAAAATTTATTCAAATTAGATATTTACATGTAATGCATACTGTTTCGTATAAGTGATTAGTTTTTTAGCGTGTAGATCTGTGTTTCCCATTCGTTAATAGGGTGCCTTTAACATATCAATACCCTCAAGGAAACCTATATAGCAAACGACAAAGAAGACGAAACCCCAACTTCAAGTATAAAAGGAGTGCAAAGGAAAGGAGGAACATGATCTATTATTTTCTCTGTTCTTCAAGGAACCCAAAGCACCCAAGAGGAAGCACGTAACAGAATAATAGAATTGCAGACGGAAAGCAATACAAAGCACAAGCCCTGTTAGTTAAAAAAAATATATATATTTTTATAAATTTCACAACTAGATGCTATGAGTAATTATTTGTCAATTAGAAGTAGGGCATTGGTCGTAATTTGTCAAATCAATGCCTTTCATAGTTCTTTGGGTTGTATTTTTGCAAAGAAATTCATGGGGATATACTCAATTTCTAGCCTATCAAATTTCTCCAAAACAACTACAGCCAAAGAAGCAAAGACATTTACTTTTAGATCTATGTTGAAATCGATTTATGCCTTCTTTGATATAGTTACCTATTTAAACCCAAAAAAAGAATTCACTTAAATCTGTGCAACACACGTGCATAGAACTTGTATTAGCGTGATAACAAATGGTTTTTCTTTTTTGGGTAGACAAACAAGTTTCTAACGCTGCAGAAAAATAATTTACGACCATCTTGAGACTCGGTCGATCAGAAATGGGTAGAAGTTGCTGCAAAACATGATATACTCTGGGTCATTTCCTCACTACGATCATGATCAGCTAAGGCCTCCGAGAGTGGTAGTCAAAGGTTAACCAGTTTGGCTGTATACCCGAAAAAAGATGTGCCTATCGTGCATCCCAAGAAACGGCTGCGTGTTAACTACTAAGATGATGTGACTTCCAAGGAGCTGAATTCCAGCCTGAATGTAGAGTCGGTTGCAAAGGATAGATCTTTTTTGCCGACCCATGTCGTACAAGAAAAACCGCTGTGTGAATCGTGGTAATTTGATGGGGTTTTTGGTCAATGAATCCTATCTTTTGTAGCCTAGGTTGCTTGCTCTCAATCTACATTACGTGGCTAATGCGTTGAATACACACTTTGTTACTGTTTCGACTAGTTTCCAGTGCTTTTAAGATGTTAAACGTATTTGCTCTGAATAAAGAAAAAAGAACAAAAAACAGTGCTCATTTAGAGTCCAAATTATTACTGTAATCGTCACTCAATTAAAAAAACTTCTTTAATACATAAATATAGATTACGGTAATATTACAGCCAACTAACCGGCGGCAGTATCACTACTGTTGTCTTATAACTTTAGTTTAATTTCCCAAAAATCATTACTGTTAATGGCAAAATAAACTCTACTTTTATACACCCATCAACTCATACCCGTCCTCCCTTCTTCACAACCCTTGAAATCTAATTTCAATGACTTTTAAATTCGAACCTGAATCCCGATTCCTCTTCGATGAGAGCATTTATGATTCATTAATGCTGTCGGCAAATGTCATAGCTGAGAATGAGGATCTCCTTACACAAATCCTAGTTCGTTTGCCGGCATAATCCCTCATTTGTTTCCAAATTGTCTCTAACCACTGGGTTTTACTCTTAGCACTGAAAACATAATGACATATAATCATATGGATTATATAACAAAAAAAATAATTCTTAATAATGAAACAAGTGTGAATCATTTTCGTTCTAAATTCCCTATCTACTACGCACACCAAAAAGAAAAGGAAAGAAATTAATTTTCAAAACATAATAAATAGTAAAACTATTATATTAATTTAAAATTGACTGTAAATATAAATTATATCAAGTAAAATTATTCACATTGATGATTTTCATAAAAACAAAACTAAGGAATCTTGTAAGTGAGGAACAAAACATAACCATATATATATATATGTATAGAAAAAAAATTGAAAGTAGATTAAATATAAAAAAAATCGAATTCCATAATAAACCAGGAAATAACGATTAAATAGTAACTTCAAAAGATTTATGATGGAAAGAAACATTATAAAGAGTTGGAGACAAATGCTTGAAAAGAAAAAAGAATAAAGAAAATAAATGTCAAAATCCGTTAAAAATTATATATTCGTAAATTTAAGATAAAATTTTCTAGCTATTGTCTTATACTGGTGGTGGGCCCGTGCATTGCCCGGATTTTAAAAATATTTCGACATTATTGGAATGAAAAATTTTTAAAAATTATATATTCGTAAATTTAAGGTAAACTTTTCTAGCTATTGTCTTATACTGGTGATGGGCCCGTGCGTTGCCCAGATTTTAAAAGTATTTCGACATTATTTGCATGGAAAATTTTTCAATGGAAAAATGTTAGTTAATAATGTTAGAATGTAATGAATAATAATATTTTGGGATTATAAATGTAACGATTAAAATATGTGATACAAGTTGCCAAATAAGTAATACAACCAAAAAAAATGTTTGTTAATCCAACAACTGTACCGTTAGGTGAACATTTTTCTTTTTAACAATGCGAGTGATTTTACCTTTCATCAACCAATACACTTTCAATCATGGATATTTCATTGTCGTCATTGTAATCTATCTTAGTCCATACGCGTAGAAGGCGAACTCAGAGATTCTAACTAACTTCTCGCAAATTACCGAGTTCATTGAGAAATTTAATTTTGGATGTCATTACTAAAGACAAATATGAATGTGATTATTTTTTTGTGTCTGTTTTGATTCGAACTATTTGGTATATATTTATAGGTGACGGAGAAATATTTGAAATATTGGGAGAATGTAACTTTCCATTTCCAGTTTAGAGGATGACTAGAATATTAAATTGATTTGAATTTTGAAAATGTAAAGGTATATTTTCAGGTTGCGAAGGATGGAAAGTATGCAATGTTGACAGGTTGTCACTATTTAAATATATAAAACGGGTTTAAAAAATTTGTAACATATGCAGGTGGTGTTGGGCATGAACATGGACATTATTTTGGTGTCATACGCCCATTTTTTGAATTCTTATTTTAAAGTGATAAATACTTACCTAATTAGATAACGAATTAAATGGAGAAAGGAAACCAGATCAAAGCAATTACTAGTCAAATTATAATTTATTTTGATTTCTATAATTTAATGATACAAAACCGAATACGTTATGAAATTTTTAACATAAACTGGATGTTTATTTTATTTTACCGTCGTTAGTAATGAAATACATATATGAGTAAATAAGTAAAATTAATTAGTTACCATTGAAAAGATACTATATTTAATTGAATCCAATTTTTTCTTATTGTTTCGTATAACTCTCCATTATGCAACAAGTGTCCGAAAAATCAACTCTTTTAATATAAAGGATTACCAAATCTAATTTTGTCTACATTTTAGGAGCTTCAGCAACCTACCAATTAACATCCTGCAATATGTATGAGAAAAAAGGAAAAAAGAGAGAAGAAGAAACTGGAAAGACATTGAGAAAGCAAAACACAATCAAAGGAAACCAGAACAAAACAAAAAATTTAAACACAAAAGCTGAAAAAAGATTGAAAAAAAAGACAATAATAAATGGAAAAAGTATCAACGACGTAAAATAAATTTCAAAAGGAAAAAAACAAATAAAGATGAAGAATGAAAGATGATTATCTCCAAATCGACTCATGATGAAGAGATAAAAGTAAAGATATAAAAGAAAGAAAATGATAGAAGTGACAAAATTATTATACTATTTAGGATTTTATATGGATAATATTAAGATACATGACTTGAAATTTAAGATAATGATGAGTAGTGCATATTGTTGGAATAAAATAACTAAAAGTTTATTGAAATTGGATACTTACATATAATGCATACTGTCTCGTATAAGTGATTAGTTTTTTGGCGTGTAGATCTGTGTTTGCCATTAGTTAATAGGGTGCCTTTAACATATCAATACCCCCACGGAAACCTATATAGCAAACGACAAAGAAGACAAAACCCCGACTTCAAGTATAAAAGGAGTGCAAAGGAAAGGAGGAATATGATCTATTGTTTTCTCAGTTCTTCAAGGAGCCCAAAGCACCCAAGAGGAAACATGTAAAAGGATAATAGAATTGCAGACAAAAAGCAATACAAAGCACAAGCCCTGTTAGTCGAAAAAAAATAATATTTTTACAAACTTCACAACTAGATGCTATGGGTAATTGTTTGTCAATTGGAAGTGGGCATCGTAATTTGTCAAATAAATGTCTTCCATGGTTCTTTGGGTTGTATTTTTGCAAAGAAATTCATGGGGATATACTCAATTTCTAGCCTATCAAATTTCTCCAAAACGACTATAGCCAAAGAAGCAAAGACATTCACTTTTAGATCTATGTTGAAATCGATTTATTCCTTCTTTGACATACTTACCTATTTAAACCCAAAAAAAGAATTCATTTAAATCTGTGCAATGCAGGTGCATCGAACTTTTACTAGCGTAATAACAAATGTTTTTTCTTTTTTTGGTAGAAAAACAAGTTTCTAACGCTGCAGAAAAATAATTTACGACCATCTTGGGACTGGGTCGATCAGAAATGGGTAGAAGTTGCTGCAAAACATGATATACTCTGGGTCATTTCCTCACTACGCTCATCATCAGCTAAGGCATCTGAGAGTGGTAGTCAAAGGTTAAGTAGTTTGTCTGTATACCCGAAAAAAGATGTGCCTATTGTGCATCCCAAGAAACGGCTGCGTGTTAACTACTCAGATGATGTGGCTTCAAAGGAGCTTAATTCCAGCCTGAATGTAGTCGGTTGCAAAGGTTAGATATTTTTGCCGGTGCAAATCGTACAAGAAAAACCGCTGTGTGATCGTGGTGGATTGATAGGGTTTTTGGTTAACGGATCCTTTCTTTCGTAGCTTAGGTTGCTTGCTCTCAATCTACATTACGTGGCTAATGCGTTGAATACATACTTTGTTACTGTTTCAACTAGTTTCCAATGCTTTTAAGGTGTTAAATGTATTTGCTTTGATTAAAAAAAAAGAACAAAAAATAGTTGTCATTTAGAGTACAAAGTATTACCGTAATTGTCACTCAATTAAAAATACTTCTTTAATAGAGAAATATATAAATATAGATTACGGCAATATTACAGCCAACTAAACGGCGGCAGTATCACTACTGTTGTCATATAACTTTAGTTTAATTTCCCAAGAATCATTACTGGTAATGGCAAAATAAACTCTACTTTTATACACCCATCAACTCATACCCGTCCTCCCTTCCACGCAACCCTTGAAATCCAATTTCAATGACTTTTAAATTCGACCCAAAAATCCCGATGCCTCTTCGATGACAGCATTTCTGATTCATCAATGCTGTCGGCAAATGTCATAGCTAAGAATGAGGATCTCCTCACACAAATCCTAGTTCGTTTGCCGGCATAATCTCTCATTTGTTTCCAAATTGTCTCTAAACACTAGCTTTTACTCGTAGCACTGAAAACATAATGACATGAAATCATATGAATTATATAACAAAAAAAATAATTCTTAATAATGAAACAAGTGTGAATCATTTTCGTTTTAAATTCCCTATCTACTATACACACCAAAAAGAAAAGGAAAAAAATTAATTTTTGAAACATAGTAAATAGTAAAACCATTATATTAATTTAAAATTGACTGTAAATATAAATTATATCAAGTAAAATTATCCGCATTGATGATTTTCAAAAAAAAAAAAAAGGAATACACTTGTAAATAAGGAATAAAACATAACCATATATATATATATGTGTGTGTATACAAAAATATCTGAAAGTAGAATAAATATAAAAAAATATCAAACTCCATAATAAACAAGGAAATAATGATTAAATAGTAACTTCAAAAAATTTATGATGGAAAGAAACGTTATGAAGAGTTTGAAACAAATGCTTGAAAAGAAAATAGAATAAAAAAACGAGTGTCAAAATCCATAAAAATTATACATTCGTAAATTTAACATAAAATTTTCTAGCTATCCTGTTAGACTGGTGGTGGGCCCGTACGTTCCCCAGATTTTGAAAATATTTCAACATTATTGGCATGGAAAATTTTTCAATTGAAAAATGTTAAAGTTAATAATGTTAGAATGTAAAGAATAACAATGTTTTGGGATTATAAATGCAACGATTAAAATATGTGATACAAGTTGCCAAATAAGCAATACAACAAAAAAAACATGTTTAGTAATCCAACAACTGAAACGGTAGCTGCACATCTTTTTTAAACAATGAGAGTGATTTTACCTTTTCATCAATCAATACACTTTCAATCATGTTGTTCCCCTCCATTATCCTTTGGGATGTTTGGAAAGCAAGAAACAAAATGATTTACAAAGGTACTCCACCATCTCAAAGCTCAGTAAATTTTGCAAAGAAATTCACGGGGATATAATTAATTTTTAGCCTATAAAATTTGTACAACACGACTATAGCCAAAGATGCAAAGATATTCAATAGTAGATCTATGTAGGAATCGATTTATTCCTTCTTTGACATAGTTATCTATTTAAACCCAAAAAAAAAAATTCGTTTAAATCTGTGCAATGCACGGGCATTGAACTAGTATTAGCGTAATAACAAATGTTTTTTTTGGTAGACAAACAAGTTTCTAACACTGCAAAAATTAATTTACAACCTTCCCGAGACAGGGTCGATCAGAAATGGGTAGAAGTTGCTGCAAAATGTGATATGCTCTCGGTCATTTCATCACTACGCTCATCATCAGCTGAGGCATCTGAAAGTTGCAGTAAAAGGTTACCTAGTTTGGCTGCGTACCTAAATAAAGATGTGCCTACCATGCATCCAAGAAAACGTCTGCGTTTTAACTACTCAGATGATGTGGCTTCCAAGGAGCTTCATTCCAGCCTGAATGTAGAGTCCGTTGCAAAGGATAGATCTTTTAGTCGGCGCAAATTGTATAAGAATAACCATTGTGTGATCATGGTGGATTGATAGGGTTTTTGGTCAGTGGATCCTTTCTGTCGCTAGGTTGCTTGCTGTCAATCTACATTACGTGGGTAATACGTTAAATATACACTTTGTTTCTGTTTCAACTAGTTTCTAGTGCTTTTAAGGTGTTAAACGTATTTGCTCAAATTAACAAAAAAAAAGAAAAAGAAAAAGAAACAATGCTCATTTAGAGTCCAAATTTAGATTACTGTAATGTTACGCCCACGTAAACGGTGGCAATATAACTACTGTTGCCTTAAAACTTTAGTTTTTGCAAGAATCATTATAGTTAATGGCAAAATAAAGTCTACTTTTATACAACCATCAACTCATACCCTTGCTTCTTCACAACCCTTGAAATCCAAATTCAATTAACTATTCAATTCGACCCTGAAATCCCGACGCCTCTTCGATTACAATAATTCTGATTCATCAATGCAGCCGGCAAATGGCATAGCTGAGAATGAGGACCTCTTGACACAAATCCTAGTTCGTTTGCTGGCGGAATCCCTCATTCATTTCCAAGTTGTGTCTAAGCACTCGCTTTCACTCTTAGCACTGAAAACATAATGACATGAAATTATATGGATTATAAAAGAAAAAAATGAATTCTTAATAATGAAACAAGTGTGAATCATTTTCCTTTTAAATCGCACTATCTACTACACACACCAAAAAAAAGGAAAACAAAATTAATATTAGAAACTTAATAAATAGTAAAACCATTATATTAATTCAAAATTTATTGTAAATATAAATTGTAGCAAGTAAAATTAGTCACATTGACGAATTTCAAATAAGCAATAAAACATAATTAGATTTATATATATATATACCAAAAAAATTGAAAGAAGAATATATATAAAAAAAATCGAATTTTATAATAAACAAGGAAATAATGATTAAATAGTAACTTCAAAAGACTTATGATGGAAAGAAACGTTATGAAGAGTTGGAGACAAATTCTTGAAAAGAAAATAGAGTAAAAACAAGTGTCAAAATCCATTAAATATTATATATTCGTAAATTTAAGATATAATTTTCTAGCTATTCTCTTAGACTGGTGGTGGGTCCATATGTTACCCGGATTTTGAAAATATTTTGACATTATTGGAATGACAAATTTTTGAATTGAAAAATGTCAAAGTTAATAATGTTAGAATGCAATGAATAACAATATTTTGGGATTAGAAATGTAACGACTAAAATATGTGATACAAGTTGCCAAATAAGTAATACAACAACAAAAAAAAAATGTTTAGTAATCAAACAATTGAAAAGGTAGGTGCACATATTTTTTAAACAATGAGAGTGATTTTACCTTTTCATCAATCAATACACTTTCAATCATGGATATTTCATTGTCGTCATTGTAATCTATCTTAGTCCTCAAGTGTAGAAGGCGAACTCGGAGATTCTAACCAACTCTTCGCAAGTTATCGAGTTCATTGAGAAATTTAATCTTAAATGGCATTACTAAAAGATAAATGTGAATGTGATTATTTTTTGGTGCGTGTTTTGATTCGAGCTATTTGGTATGTATTTATAGGCGATGAAGAAATGTTTGAAATATTGGTAGAATGGAACTTTTCATTTCCAGTTTAGAGGAAGACCAGAATATTTAATTGATTTGAATTTTGAAACCGGAAAGGTGTATTTTCTGGTTGCAAAAGATGGAAAGTAAGCAATGTTAACAGGTTGTCACCATTTAAATATATAAAACAGGTTTAAAAAATTTGTAACATATGCAGTGGGTGTTTAACGGTCATGAACATGGACATTTTTTATTTTTTATTTTTTTTATCAAAGAAAAGGTTAGGATGGTGTTCAGGTTCCAACTAACTCAAAAAAACTTAAAGGGTATACCCAAGAGGTAAATTTTTTAGTTAGCCAGTGCCATACAGTATAATGCACCCAAGGGGTATGCCCAACGGATGAACATATATACTATATAGTTCCCTAGTTCTACCTCTCCCCATTTTTTATTATTAATATGCAGCAAGAAGTGGCAGAGCTTAAGTCTCACCACTACGGAGCTTAAGTCTCACCACGAAGCAGTCGGCAGCACCATCATCTTCTTCATCCACGCACCGCCGATTGCTTCCATAACCTCCACGCAGCCCATCATCACCGAACGCCACCATCTTCTCCACCTCTTCACCATCGACTGCCGCACCACCATTCACACAGCAGCAGCGAAGCTCCATCAACTTCCTGGTCACGCCGCACCAACGAAGCAGCAGCCGAGAAGCAAAGCGTGCACCGTCGGGGAGTTATTGGGCGTCATTCGGTTTTGAAGTTTCAAATTATTTAATTTATTTTTTTTCTTTTATTATGTCTCTAAATATTATTGAATTATTTTTAATAATGTTTAGTGGCTAAATTCTTTTAATATAGGGCTTGGGTGTAGCCACCGAATTTATTTGGTTTATTTGGTTTATTTTTATTTGATTTTTCCATTAATTAATATTTGTTATTCTTGTTTTAATTCGTGTAAGTAATTGGCCACTATTTACATGTCTGAAGGTGTTAATCGAAGTAGCGAGAGTGGAAGATTAATATTAGTTCGTAGGAATAATAAACTTAGGTTATAAGCTACGAGAGTAAGATTATAACCTTTGCAATATTTGATTCTTAATGGTCTTAATGTGCTTTTGTTAATCCCTATAGTCACGAGAGTAGTCATAGGGTTAATCTAAGTAAGAGAATTATAACACAAGAGTGTATAGTTCTTAATTAGGTGAATCGTTGTGAGATTAATGGAAGTTAAAAGTCAGATAGTTATGAATTGAACTAACCCAAATATTCGGTAGGTGAACCCAATGTCCTAGGTTTCCTTTGTCTAATTATTTGAATTAATATTATTTGCTTTTATTTTATTTATTTATTTTAGGTTTAAATTTTATAAATCTGAGATCATCATTTATCTAGATAATAATATGAGTAATTTATACCAGTAATTAGTATTCCTTCTCTCGTGGATCGACCACCTTTCTCGCTTTACTACTAGTAATTGTATTAAGTAGCTAATTATTATTTGACTAGTGTGACGACGGCTTGTCAAATTTGGCGCCGTTCTTGGGAAGGCAGCTAATATCGAATTTAGATTACTTTCTTTTATTAGTTTAGATTTGTTTTTATTTTATTTTATTTTATTGTCTTACTATTTTAGTGATTTCTTTTAAATATTTTTGTCTTGTTTTTATATGCGAAGTGCTAATTCGAGACTTTGCAATTTGATCCGAGATAGAAAGAACACTTCGTGCGAACGAAAAGAAGCAAAACTAAGAAAAGAGAAGAATCAGAGTGAAACCATGGGCGACAGAGTAAACACTCGGACACTGAGGGATTACTTTACACCTACGGAGAATGTTGCTAGGTCAAGTATTACTAGGCCTACCATTGCTGCGAATACCTTTGAGCTCAAGCCAGCATTGATCCAGATGGTGCAGCAGAATCAATTCTCGGTTTTAACAATGAGGATCCAAATGCGCATATTGATAATTTTTGGAGATCCGTGATCTTGTTAAGATAAATGGTGTGACGTCAGATGCAATCCGGCTGAGACTTTTCCCTTTTTCATTGAGGGGAGAAGCGAAGAATTGGTTGAATACTTGCGATCCTGGTTCCATCACAACTTGGGATGAGCTTTACAAGGAATTCCTGATCAATTTCTTTCCACCACATAAGGCAAACAAATTGAGAAATCAAATTACTGGGTTTATTCAAGAAGATGATGAGACATTTCATGCTGCATGGACAAGATTCAAAGAATTGCAAAGAAAATATCCTCACCATGGTATTGAGAAAAGTACTCTAGTTCAGACTTTCTATCAAGGATTGACAGACTTTGCAAGAAACAATGTGGATGCTGCAGCTGGAGGTTCATTAATGGATAAGTCAATAGATGATGCCTATGACTTGTTTCAAATTATGGCAAAGAATAGGAATCAATGGTCGAACTCGAGAAGTGTTTCCAAGAAGCCTGCTGGAATGTATGAAGTCAATGAACTAAGTGCCATGAACGCAAAGATAGATGCACTGACCAAGGCGATGGGTAATCTTGTAAATGCTAATGCAGTCTTCCAGGCCACTGTCTGTGAGTTCTGTGGAGGTCCTCATTTGAGTTCTGAATGTATGCAACTGGCAAGTGCACAATATGTCTCTAATTTCAGCAAACCTCAGCAGCAGAACAATCCATACTCCAACACATACAATCCTGGGTGGCGAAATCATCCAAACTTTTCTTGGAATAATCAAGGGGCTCAAGACTTTAATACAAGACCTCAAAACCCTCCTGGTTTCCAAGCAAAGTCATACCAATCCGCGCCTAAGACAGCTACGGAGGAAAGTTTGGAGAGAATGGAGAAATTGTTCAGTGAAAACACTGAACGGTTTAACAGAATAGAATCAAGGTTAGATCAATTGACTACTGCTCATAGAACCTTGGAGATGCAAGTGAGTCAAATGGCCTCCGCCATGAATACTCGTGGGCAAGGTCAACTGCCAAGCAAGTCTGAAATCAACCCTCGTGAAAATTGTAGTGCTATCATGTTGAGAAGTGGGAAGCAGTTGGGTGACAAGGAGGAACCAAAGACTACTGAAGTGAATGAGACCACTAATGAGAAGAAAGTAGAGAGTAAAAGAGTGATGAAGAAAAAGTGGAGAAAGTGGAACAAGAGGAAGAAAGATATATGTGCCACCACCGCTTAAACCTTATGTTCCACCGTGCCTTTTCCGCAGAGACTCCATATGACCAAGCAAGATAGGTTGTTTGAGAAATTTTTGAAAATTTTTAGGCAATTGCATATTAACATTCCTTTTGCAGATGCTTTAGCTCAGATTCCAGCGTATGGGAAGTTCTTGAAGGAGATCATCTCCAACCGAAGAAAAGTGGAAGACTTTGAGACAATTGCACTATCTGAGGAGTGTAGTGCTGTCATTCAGAGAAAGTTGCCTCCAAAATTAAGTGATCCAGGGAGTTTCTCTATTCCTATCTCTAT